TGCAAGTGAAGTGTCTGGTGATGAGACATTCACTTGCCATGTGAAGGGGAGAAGATTCTGTGTCCCCTGTGCCCCTGAGCTGATTCACATGTTCATTAGCTGCAGATCTAGGATGGGCGCTTCAAGAGAGGGAGCTTAAACACCCTTTTTTGGCATTTCCCATAAGTCTAATGTGCTGACAGCTGTTGAACATAACCTAATTCCTAAACTAGTCCATTGACTTTGGAAGAAACGTAGGCAGTAAATTAGCTTGAAAAATTCCATTACTTGAGCTGGACATGTAAGATTTAGCTTTTGCAGTGCTCAGCCTCTCAACAGATAAATCCCTTTGCTGACTGCCTGCTTATGGCAGATGTGTCCCAGTTTAAGTGGCTAATTTCACAGATCCTCTGAGAAGAGAAAAGCAAATGAGATTTTCTTTTTTTCACCAAGACTCAGTTTGAGAGTTAGAACATTAAGTCCTAAGTTTCAGATTGAACCCTTGACTTAAATGCCTGAGATCTGACACCCCATTTGGATACAGAAATGTAACAGGCTGGCACCTAAAACCTAAGAGAGTCCCACTGTAGTAAGTGTCATTCACATCATATTTTAGGAGACCTTAACAATATGCTGGTCTGTATTCTTAATAAGGTCATTGGAAGGGGCTATTCCACTAATAGACCACTGGTTAAAGCATTAACCACAAAGAGGGAGATATAGAAGAAAAAAATCTTTCTAAGTCCAAGAGTTTATTCAGTCCTAGGACAGTGAACTATCTATGGTGATTAGGCAAAGAAACTATCTTACAATGTTCCTCTTCAGAAGCAATTGTCCCCATGTGTTTCCAGGTATGATAAGCAAAATCCTATCATGCAACTGTAAAGGACCACCCTCACAAAAGCTGCTAGATTATTGTCAGTCACTGAGTGACTGCTTTCTAAATTAGTAAAACCATGTCTGGTCATTACCTGAATTTTATTTTTCAGCCAGTGTCAGAAGAGTTTCAGAATGGAGAAGGATTTGGATATATTGTAGCCTTCAGACCCAATGGAACACGTGGCTGGAAGGAAAAAATGGTAACATCTTCAGATGCCTCAAAGTTCATCTACAGAGATGAAAGTGTGCCACCTCTGACTCCTTTTGAGGTGAAAGTTGGCGTTTACAACAACAAAGGAGATGGTCCCTTCAGCCCTATTGTGGTCATCTGCTCTGCTGAAGGAGGTCAGTTCAACATAAAGTTAACTTGTATATTATGAACCATATGAAGCTATTTTCATATAATGTGTCCTATTATAACGTGCTTTTTCAATCTTAAATTCCAAAATTATTTGCAGAAGTGCAAAGTAACATTAAATATGTCTTGCAGAGAAGGAGGTGAACTAACTTGCCAAGGTTACCCAGAAAGCAAGTGACAAAGTTTAGGAATAGACTTCAAGCCCCATCAGTCCTAGTCAAAAAACAATCTCTTTTAATGATGGTTCATTCCTAATACGAAATCTGTAGTCTTAACTTTAAGCCAGGCTGCTCTAACAATGAGCAAAGAAAGTCTGATATTTTCTAATATTTCTGAGGTTCATGATACTTTTTTTGATGAGCTAATCAGACAATAACTCAAAGACTAGATAAATCCACTTATGAATATTCATTTCCTGGTTAATGGATACTAAGACTGCACAGAACGCAATTTTTTTTCCTATTATTTTCTCTCTTTTTTGGTTCATTAGTACAAAAATTCTGAATTTATGTTAATGTCCAAATAGTCAATATGAATTATATTAATAGTTCAACAGAACAAATGAAAAATTTTTCTGGAAAATTAGTATGTCAACTTGATATAACTCTCAACAGTACTTTGTGACAAAAAAAATGACTAATTTGTGCTGGCAAAATAAGTTGTTCTGTATTAACAGGAGCTAGTGTATGGATATTGCCATGCATATAAAAGGTGAATAAATGTTATCCACAGGAATATTCTGAGCAGCTCCATTACTGGAAGTCATACACTTCAGTTCTACTTAGTAGTAACTTACTGTACTATCTTTGAGTTATCCTATTGTGTCCTGTTGAGAGAATAAATTAAACATAGATCTAGTGCAGGTGGGAGGAATTTCATACTATCTCTGAAAAAATGTAGTGTGAAGATAATGGTATTTCATGTGAAGCTGGAAAACATTTAATGTTATTCCATATTAGCCCATAAAAAAAGTGTAATTTTGGAGCCATGATGTGGCAGATATTATCTACTATTATTATCTCACAGTAATTAAAGAGGGTGGAAGTGCTGCTTTGGCTAAAAGCAGTTCCAGTACTTTGTTTGTGTTCCAGTGTTTGGATCAGTGTTACCAAGTATTCATATTATTATAAAACCAACTGCATTTTAAAATGTAAAAATTGCCAAGTACAACTTGGACATTTTTACAATTGACTTGCCTGTTCCTCAATGGAAAATTATACTGTGAGGCCAATACTAATGTTTTTATTATTTAACAATTTCATACTCTAATCAGAAAGTTCAATAAAAATACAGTTTTGCAAGGAAAGGAGACAGAACCTTAATGGATTTTTTTTTCTTTAAATAGCAAGAGCTATTTTAGCAAAAGCTGAATGTTGAAATGTAATAGATAGCCCTTCGCTTGGTATTTGGACAAGACTGGAAATGGAATAATCAGTAATATATAAATAATTTTTTCTAACATTTATTTTAAAATATAAATTTTGCAAATTATCTGACTAGAATTGTTAAAATTAACTTTCTTTGCTCCCAGACACTATCTGTAGAAATCAATTTTTCTGATTGTCATTCAGTTACTTGAAAGTACCCATCCATCATAGCTTTGCTAATTCAGTCTCTATGTTTATTTACATTAGACTTTCCTTTGGTAAGATGAATTCTATGGGGATAAATACTTTAAAAGTCTTATATTTGAGGAAAAAATATGGGATGCTGTGACAATGCAGTGCAAAATTAATTTATAAAAAGCTTTTCTCTGGAATAACCCTAGGTGATATACTGAAAATTTAAAGGAAAAAATGAAATAGTTTATTACAGCTAAGTTCAGGGCAATATGGAGACTGAGGACAATAGACACTTCAGCTTGCTATGAGAAAAAATGGGAAAGTGGTTTTGAAAGAAGCATGCACTTTCACATTTCAGGAGCTAAACAATTGAAAGGCATATTTTCTCAAGGATTTCAGTTGAAGAGGAGATATTAAATAAAGATTGACAGTACAATATATTATGGTCCTAGGGCTGATCCAGCAAACGCTTAGCTTACTTGATTTTCATCACACACGTAATTCACTGTTCTGCAAACATCTAGAATAAAGGCCTAGGATAAAATTATATAAAAGTTAAGGAAACTTTATGTGACATATTAAAAGGTTTCCTACATCTACAAATGGATCTACAGTTATTCACTGGCATAACAGATTTGTCTAAAGAAGTCTAAATCCTGATGTCTCTGCTAAGTACAAGGAAAAAAAACAAAACCAAAAACAAAACAAAAAAAACCAACCCAAGAGTTTGCATAGGAAAGGTTCTGGACAAGGAAGAAAATTCTCATGTATTAAGAATGAATGCATCTCTTTTCTGGATGTCTGTGACTGCATAGCGTGTTATCTCTTCTCTCTGATATGCGTTGAAACCCTATTTGTGGTGGCTGTGAGTTGTGCCTAGGCAAGCAGCTTTGCAGATGGTATTGAGAAAGATGTTCCTTTCTGTGAAAAAAAACTGACTGACCTATGATTACATAAACTGTATCTGACTGAGGTAAAAGGCTTTTAAAAATAACCTTCTACTGAGCAAAGAATCTCAGCAAACACAAGCAAAACACTGACCGCTTTTCCATAAGTACCTGGAAGGGCTAATCCTTTTATCTCTATGTCAGATATTTAGAAGATAATAGGATACTAATGGTTACTGAGGGATCAATGACGGTGATAATTCAAAGGTAAAAGGGGGAAAAATGCCTGAATGGTTATAGGTGTTTTAAGACATTTCTTCTCCTTCATTGGCCTTTTGACTTCATAGGAAATATCACTAAGACACACCTCATGGGAGAGTTTATCCAGGAGCTAAAGATGCAGGTGAATGTAATGGAGGAATAGAGAGTAGAATAGAGAAGCAGATAAAAAGGTTGTACCAAAATAGCTGGATAACCCAGGAGGAAAAAAATCAAATGTGACCCTCTGGAAAAGATGGCTTCGTGCATTAGAAAGGTTTGAAGGAGTGGTCTTTCCTGGCGACCTTAGGACAGGTAGAAAGCAAACAATCAAGGAGAAAAGAACAGAAAGAGAGGTCAGATGTTTTAATGAAGTAAAAGAGATTATGAGAGCCAGGGACCAGTTCTGAAAAGGGAATGAGGATGTCACATAGAAGATGCAGGAAAAAAAAAAAAAAATAAATAAAAGATGCAGTTATCTTCAATAAGAAGGCAGAACAGAAGGACACAATAGACATCTTCCAGCACCAGGGAAAGACAAGTCTGAATCTTTCATAAAGAAACCCTTTAATAAGAGAAGGAGACACCACAGCACATAGAGAACAGCAAGTTAGGCTGCCAGACAGAAAAGAGTTTGCAATGTGCAGGTCTGAGGCTGAAAAGGAGCATGAACAAAGCAGGGACAAATCTTCTGACTGCACTTTCTGCCAGGAAAGTAATGGTATCAGATTCATGCTAGAACATACTGAAACAAAGCACTGAGCTTCAGTGCAGGCACAGATTATTTTGATCCACAGAGAATAAAAATTGTAAAGGCACAATATATTGGAAATAAAACGAAGAACAAAAACAGTGTTAAGCACTGTTTCTTTTAACATTTATATCTTCTTTGGAGATTTTTCTTGATGGCTATATTCCACTTAAATACTGAGGGGCTAAAAATGTCAAGATGACTAATACAAGCTTTCAGTATCAGGGAAATCATATGCAATGTCTATATCTGTTTTTAATTTAATATGAAAGCGTAAAGGTATGATGGCAAGAAGATGGAAAAGGCTGTACTGATAAGAGTGACGGCCACGTAGCCTGGCTTTAGCAAACATGACTAAACAAAGTACGAGCTACATAGGAAAGAAAAAATAAAAGTAAAAATGGTTGAATGTCGTAACACGCTGATGATGTGGTAACATATCAGGAAATACAAAACCAGTGTTTGGATAAAAAAGAATATCCTTGGGTTCCATGTCATTTCAGAAAAGGGCAATTAAAGAAACTGCGAGTCAAACTAGAAGCCAGTTGCTGATTGCCCTGATAAATTTGGATGCTGAGAAAGACCTTTTTAATTTTAGACAAATATTACAGGACACTGTTATTTATGAGAGAATTTAGCTGCTCAGAGTAGTTCAGATAGTAAATACTACTAATGACCTTGTGTTCCAGCTGCGATAATTAGCAGATTCTTTATCAAGTACTAACTAACTGAGAAGGAATAATGGTACTATAGTCTTGTTTTGATGAATAATTAAGACACTATAGAAAAGCTGATCATAACAAATTACAGTGAAACAAGTCATCATTAAATAGCGGGAAATTATTTAATATGCTAGAATTAACAGTTGAGAGTAAAAATGAAAATATTTTGGGATGTCTCTGAGCCAAAGGTGTAAAATCTACCTGAAATTTATACTGCAACAAATGGTACATTTCTAAGGCAGTACATTACATCTGAGATTCTTGAGCTGTACACACTAAAAGATATTCAGAATAAATAAAAATCGTACATAATAAAATCCAAATAATGAAAAGGATATGAATAACATAAATATTGTTAAAAATTAAGGTTGAAAAAGATTTTTTTTAAAGTTAAGGAAGTATATAAAGCAGGAAAAAATATGAAGTAAATAAGATATTGATAGTAAAGATAATCAAGAAGTGGACCAATAATAGTTAAATACTTTCTCATTTACTTTTAATAAATAAAACTATAGCTAATCATAGTCAGGATAGCTAATAAGAATGTGAAAGTCTGAGAATTTTTACAGCTGTGGTGAAAACTGGTATTGTCAAGTGCTCAGAAATTCAACCCTCTCCAATTTAAGCAGCACAGAATTTGCTGTTCAAATGTACTCTAAATGAAATTTATCTGTTTTTCTATTAATAGTTGCCATAGATAGTGAGAGCCAATCCCTTTTATATGCTCAAGGACCTGGGGCAAGATTTTTCCATCCCAAAATAATGAAAACAAATAACAGTTGGCAAAAAATAAATTTTAGTTAATCT